TCGTTTTGCCGGATCGATCGATCGGTTAGCTTTTAGGATTTCTTGAATGTCACCGTCTCCTCTATGCTGCGTTGGATCGATTGATCCATGCATTGGATCGATCGATCCGAAAGTCCCTAGAAAAACCAACTCGTCGTCTACATGTAAGGGATCGATCGATCCCTGCACTGGATAGATCGATCGCGGCTCCTCTGACTGAAACAGGAAAACGTCTTCTTGAAACATCACATCTTGAAATACAAAGAATTCAGACTTCTCCAAATCATATAGGCGCCATCCCTTTTGACCAAATGGATAACCTATAAACATACAACGTCGACTCCGTTCCCCAAACTTATCCTTATCACGTAAAACATTACGACCATAACATAGGCTACCGAAGACTCATAAGGTAGTAAAATTAGGTACCACACCAAACAACAACTCATACGGTGTCTTCCCATCAAGAACTGAAGATGGAGTACGATTGATCAACTGACACGCAGTAAGAACGCATTCTCCCCAAAACTTACGTGGTAATGTAGCTTGAAACATTAATGATCTAGCCACGTTTAGGATATGTCTATGCTTCCTCTCCACCCGTCTATTTTGTTGAGGAGTATAGACACAATGAGGTTTGATGTGTAATTCCTTCTTCCAGAAAATATGACCTGAGACCCATAAATTCTCCTCCATTATCACTCCGTACTACTTTCACCTTCTTTTCAAATTGACGTTCTACCATCTTGAAAAGTTCTTAAGAGTCACAGCTACTTCACTTTTCTCACGCAACAAGTACACCCAAACAGCTCTGGAATAGTCATCTACTATTGTCAGAAAATATGCAGCCCCCGAAGTAGACAAAACTCGATAAGCACTCCAAACATCACAATGAATTAAATCAAAAACTCCAGCAGCTTTATTAGAACTTTCATGAAAGCAATCACGGGTTTGTTTTGTTCTTAAACAAATGTCACAAACTGTTGTTGAACTCACTTGTTTCTCAATATCTAAATGACTCAATAAATAAGGAACAACACGACTAGATGGATGACCAAGACGACGAAGCCGTAAATCCCATGATCCTGAACAGCTCACAGTCTTGTGTATCTTCGCACCGATCACCCCTCGAAGCACGTACACGTCCCCACACTCTTCACCAACTCCAATCAGCGTCTTCATAGCACGGTCCTGTATAACACACAACTCATCGGTGAATGTAATAGAGCCCTTAACCACTTCCAACAACTTTGCAACCGAAATCAAAGAGCATGTTAAATCCTTAGAATACAAAACTCCTTGTAACCACAAATCACCCCCGAAACATATATCACCCTGTTGTGGGACACCACATGATCACCATCCGGTAAGCCGATCATACATGGATTGGTATTCATCACATTAGACAAAGAGTCTAAATTACCAGTCATGTGGTGTGATGCTCCTGTATAAATAATAAAATCAATACATTCTTTCTTACCATTCAACTTCTCATTAGGATTTGAATTTTGAGAAGCAAAGAGACTCTTGAAAGCATTCCATTGATCATCACTCATTTGGGGTAGAGATTGACGATCCAAATCAGCCGGTGTCCTTGTCGAATTAGCTTGTATGCCCCCAACAATATTTGCCTGAACACCCGTGACCGTGTTGGCCCTACCACCCAACCCGCGACCACGTCCAAACTGGCCTCCACGTCCTCCACGTCCACGTCCACCTCTACCGCGATCATTGTAGTCGCGTCCTCGTTCTCCCCACCATTCAGGAAGGCCAATTATCTAAAAGCAATCAGCCTTTGCATGCCCATACTTACCAGAATGAGTACATGTCACGTCTTTCTCGCGATAAAAATTGGAAGTTTGACCCCGTTGCGCAGCCTGGACCGCAAACCCCACAGCCTCCGAAGTTGCATCACGATTCCTAGTAATCGTGAGTTGTCTCTCTTCTCGAATGATCCTTTGATAGACTTGTGAGAGCTTGGGTAGGGGTTCCATACTTGTGATAGTAGAACACACCTACCAAACTTCGCAGAATCTAAGCCATTCAAGAAAGTATTGGTTCTCTCTTCATTACGGTCTTCTTCCAACTGAGCAGCCAGTTCTCCACAACTACATGATCGAATAGGCTTGTAAATTACCAATTCATCACACATCTTCTTAAGTCTCCCATTGTACACCATTACCGTATCCCCATTTTGTCTACAGTTTGCTATATCAGCCCTAAGCTGACTGATTCTCGATCCGTTTCCTGCAGAGAATTGAAGCTTCAAATCTTCCCACAACGCTTGAGCTTCATCCACCATAGAAATCGATGTCCTGAGAGTCGGCTCAACCATGTTCATAATCCAAGCGATTAACATAGAATTAACCACTTCCCACTGTTCAATCTCATCCTCCTTGGTAGGTTTCTCCAAAGTCCCATCAATAAACCCTAATTTTCGTTTCGTTCGCAAGGCGTTCCGCACATGCTTAGCCCAATCTTCATTGTTTTTTCCCTTAAATTGAAAAGTAGTGATCAAATTACCCGGTCCATCAGAAGGATGGAGATACAGTGGCGAAGCCATAGCCTTCTCCGCCACCGTGAGCCCGCTCCCGCCGTCTTTCGCAGCCTTCCATGTCGCCAGCTCTCTGCCGTCGACATCCACCATCTTCTCTTCTTTTCCCTTTGTTTGATTTTCTTCTTAAAACCCTAACTCTGCTACCATGCCAAAGGGATAAGAGAATAAAGAGAATGTTGTGTTCTATTGACATTAAGAAGAGAGTATATATAAATGTTACACAGGAAACTCTAAACATACTTAGGAAAATTAACATAATAGCCTAAGTATAATATATTTACATATAGCTCCCTAATACTTTCCACCAATGTAATATATCACATTTTCATACAAAATAAACCAATAAACCATTCTTACTTATTTTCTTCCAAATATACTGTCTATGTAGAGTTATTTTCTTATGTATTGATACGTTTTCACAAAATTTAAAATCTTTATATTAGCACCTAAACTTTAAGTCTTTAACCCAAATAGCCATATTTTGAAAGTCCTGACTTCTTTGAGGTTAGAATGTGATTTGAAGAGTTTGATTTGGTTGATATTTGATTTTTGGTTGTAGTAGACATCTCTAAAACGTTTTATATACTAGGAATTGACCCGCGGTACACCGGAGGTAATTTTTTCTAAAATTTATGATTTTTAAATTTTTAATTAATGTTTTATATTTAAAAATTTGAAAATTCTATCATTTTTATAATTTATAGTTTATAACTACCATTAAGTAACGGTATACTACGGAACAATTTTTGTTTTATACAATATTAACTAAATTAGACTGATTCGATATGTCTAATATTACAGGTCTTCCAAAATAATAAAATCAGGATTTAACCCGTATTTAAAAGACGGGTTAATGATATTTTAAAATTTTATTAATTTTGATTCAAACCCGTCCCGCCATATAACTCTGCCCCGCCATATAACACTGCCTCGCCATATAACTCTGTCCCGCCATATAATTTCGTCCCGTAGTATAATCCGTCATGTGTTAGTTTAAAATGTTGATATGTTCAAATATTCATAATATTATAAAAATTTTATTGATTTTGAATGTATAAATTATAATATTTATTTTAAAAAAATTATACGTATTTTTTGAATTCCAATTGTTAGTAGTATTAAAAAATTTCTTCAAATTCGTTGGTATGAATATTTGTTTAGGCGATTTTATGTTGATAATATAGGGCAATATATGGTAAGTGATTTTGAATTGAAAATCTTAATTTAAATAGAGTATAAATTATCATTGTCGAGAATAGAGATATTAGGAAAAATTGTCTCCAGATTTTTGGCAAACGAATTAGATTTACATATATTTAATTAAAGAAACAAATGTTAAGAATTAATGTCAGTGACATTACATTGTAAATAAGTGTCAACTCCAGGATTTATTTCAAAAATGTTTAAAAAAATGTATATGTATATTATGATTAAATATAAATAGATTGTTTCTTGAGAAAAAGAAAAAATTATATATTTATATATGTAAATAATTTTTCAACATGAATTCTGTCAAAATCATATGAGTTGGTTTGTTTAATCCAATTTTTATTTACTATAAACTATTTGTACCTTTAAATTATATATATGGTCCTAAAATTAGGGGTGAGACCAATTATCCGGGATCCGAGATCCGATCCGAGATCCGCTCCGATCCGCTCCGAAAAATAGGATATCCGGGTGGGGCGGATCCGGATCCGGATAATGAAAAAGCGGATCCGGTCGGATCCGGATCCGGTCGGATCCGGATCCGGATCCGGTCGGATCCGGATCCGGATCCGGATAATAGAAAATTTAAAGCCGGATATCCGGATCCGGGATATTTTATATAATAATAATATTTTTTTAATATTTTATTACTATTATTTAAATTTTATTAATAAATTCTATTATTTTATATAAGAATAATATTTTTTTAATAATATTTTTAATTATTTATATCAAATTATTTGTTTTTAAATATTTTTCTTGAAATTTTATATTAATAAAAAAAATTGTATAAAAAAAACCCGGATCCGGATATCCGGCGGATATCCGGCTCTTTTTACGGATATCCGGGTGGAACGGATCCGGATCCGGATAATGAAAAGGCGGATCCGGATCCGGATACTCCAAAAAAGCCGGATATCCGGATCCGGCCCAGCCCTACCTAAAATCCTAATATGGACGACATAGTCAGAATCATTTAAAAATATATATAAAAGAAATAAAAAATTGCAACCACATAGTTGAAAATATCTAAGAGAATATAATCTTCTTTCTTTTTAAAGGAATATAATCTACCCCAATTAATTGTATCATTATTTCCAATTAAAGAAACAGTACAGCTCATTGGAAGAATTAATCTTATCTTTTATTTTTCATTTTTTTTTTTGGTATCAAAATTAATCTTATCTTCGCCATGCCATATATCTCTCTTTCTATAAAGTAAACTCAGAGAAAAAAATAATAAAAATATAGTATTAATTATCCATTTGGGGCTATATATAGAGACCCTTTGAGATCCAATCGTCAAGAAACCAAACAAATAAAGAGAGATTTAATACAAAAGAAAGAGAAAAAAAGACGATATGGCAGGACTCATCAACAAGATCGGAGATGCACTCCACATTGGAGGAGGCAACAAGGAAGGTGAGCACAAGAAGGAAGAGGAACACAAGAAGCACGTCGACGAGCACAAGAGTGGAGAGCACAAAGAAGGTATTGTTGACAAGCTCAAAGACAAGATCCACGGTGGTGAAGGCAAAAGCCACGACGGAGAAGGCAAAAGTCACGATGGTGAGAAGAAAAAGAAGAAGGACAAGAAGGAGAAGAAACATCATGATGATGGTCACCACAGCAGCAGCAGTGACAGCGACAGCGATTAAGGTTTGTTTTCTCTACTTTTTAATCATATACATAAATCATGAACAAATATTTACTTATGAGTTTTGGATCTTGAAAAAATAATACGGATCTTGAAAAACTACGTATTATTCAGTTGTAGATATAAGATTAAGGTTATTCTTTTTTCCTAAACGTTTAAATCATGACCAAATATCTCCTAAGTTTTGGATCTGGCAAAAAAAAATAAAAAATACCAATATTGTCGATTATCAAAATTTGAGGCCTGTACTATATTCAATAATTGTTTAATTTATTTAAATTTTGTTGATTTGTAGGTGAAGAAGTGAGGAGGATCGGTTAAATAAAACAGATCTTGTTCTGACTATTATTAATTAATGTTGTTGTATGTTCCTATCCTCTTAGAGAGAGGTTAAAGACAGGAGAACCGTGCATCTATCTTTGTTTGTTATGTTTCTGTTTTCTTGTCATGAAAATTATGTTCATGTATCTTATCTATATCTAAATTAATAAATCCATGAATCCTAACTTGTAAGACTTTTTATTTTAACATGGGACCTTCGTTTCTTAAGAAGATCAAAACTTTTTTCTGTCAAAAAAAAACTTGAGAAAATCAAAACGTATTGATAAATGGGAAAAATGTCGAAAAATGCGCCAACTTTCAAATTTGGGACGATTAAAGAATGAACTCTCGAAATATCTCTTTAATCACAAAGTTTCTGTTGACCTGTCTAAAAATAGCTAAGTTTTCGTTGACCTGGCCAAATTAGGCATCGCGTTAAGTCTCCGTTAGAACGACGCTGACGCTGTTAACAATCCGTTAGATTCTCCGTTCGATCAAAACGACGTCATTTTGAAGTTTTCAAACGACGTCGTTTCACCAGAAAATAAGAAAGAAAAATGGCATCTCCAAAGAATCGAACAGCTGACCTGTTACACTAATAAGAGACACTCAACCATTGGGCTACGGGAACATTTTAATGTTTGTACAAACAGAACGTGTATATATACTAAAAATTGGTAACATAAATTAGGTAAAAATATATGCAACTAATTTAAAATAACAATATTAAAAACAAATTAATAACCAAACATATACACATATTAAATATACTTACCTTAAATATATATTTCAAATTTACAAACATTTAATTATATATATATAAAGATTTTATTCTATTTTGGAAAATTATTATTTCCTAAATTATAAAAACCTAAACTTTGTATAAATGTTTAATGTGGTTGTTGCATGTATCATTGGTGCATATAAGGCATAATTATATGATTAATTTTATGTCATATATTTAAATTTTTTATATTAGAAAGAATAATTTTCCAAATATGGAAGAAATCTTTATTTATAAAATAATATTTGAGATTTTGATACATATACTATGATAAGTATATTTAATATTTGTATTTTTGGTTATTATTATTTTTTAAGTTTGTTATTTTTAATTAATTGCATATATCTTTACCTAATTTATGTTACCAGGTTTTAGTATATATACACGTTCTGTTTGTACTAACATTAAAATGTTTCCGTAGCCCAATGGTTGAGTGTCTCTTATTAGTGTAACAGGTCAGCAGTTTGATTCTTTGGAGATGCCATTTTTCCTTCTTATTTTCTGGTGAAACGACGTCGTTTGAAAACTTCAAAACGACGTCGTTTTGATCGAACGGAGAATCTAACGGATTGTTAACAGCGTCAGCATCGTTCTAACGGAGACTTAACGCGATGCCTAATTTGGCCAGGTCAACAAAAACTTAGCTATTTTCAGACAGGTCAATGGAAACTTTGTGATTAAAGAGACATTTCGAGAGTTCATGCTTTAATCGTCCCAAATTTGAAAGTTGGCGCATTTTTCGACATTTTTCCTATATATAACATAGCAAAATAAAGAAACAGATGTTTATAAGAACAAAAAAGGTCAAAGAAAAATAAATTAACACTAATTTTTTGTATTCATAAATCTACTTGTAACTAGATCTTTTTGTTTGTCAACAGCTTTAAAATTAATATTTAAAAGAACCATTGCTTTTAGATATTATTTACATATTTGATATGATACGGTTCGGTACGAATTTTTCGTGCCAATTTATCCGCTGTAACATTTGCACAGCGAGAAATTAAAGATAAAGAGAAACTTGAAAATCCTTCGTTGGCGCTTAGGAATTCCTCCAAATACACTGAGAAAGCCAGCCATTCGGTTGGGAAAAACACAATCTTTATCAGATCTGAATAGTCTATAAAAAAGCTAGCTTTTTCTTTTCCTTGTAAAGAATTATTTAGATAACAAAACCATATAATAAGAAAAGAAAAAAAGTTTTTCTCTCATACACTAATATCGAGAATTTCTTTCCGGGCATGTATTCCGGTATCGGTGGAGTTTTGACACACCAGAGTCAAGAATTTTCCTTTGACCATCTTGCTCTTCATCACTCTAGATCTTCTATCATTTTCTTTTTTGTTAGCAATTTTTTTTCTCCTTTTGAATCCCTCTCCAACCCAAGGCATCTACTGAGATTCTCAACAACCAAAAACAAAGGGAGAAGATGGTGTCCGGCGATCTCCATCTCTCACCCTCAACATGCAACAACTCTAAAAGAACCACCAAACCATGGATATGTGATACCGCTTTCCCAAGAAACAACTTCATACCATGCTTCATTGATGACAAGAGATCAGGCTATTAGACGGTCAGATGCGTCGTGCCTGGTGGAGACGTCGATGGCGCACTGCAAGCTTCTTCTCTGGAATCCGACTTCCTTTCCCGAAACGGCCAATCATCTCTGGTTCTTCTCCCTTGTTTCGAATCTTGACAAAATTCACCAAACGCCGACTCTAGCTTCACCAGAGATGCCTGCTTCACCACAAGATCTTCCATCATCTCTGTACGACGGCTGCTATACTCGTTAACTAGCCAAAGTGAAATTAGGGTTACAACTGGTAGGATTTATTAATTTTGGCCATTTAAGATTTTTGAAGCCCAAGTCTAAAAAGTGTAATCCAATACATTATCTGCTAAAGTCCAGGTCTGTTCTCAACTCTTCATCGTCCATCTCTAAGACAACCTCTGTTTCTTTTATCGAATCCTTATGATAGAGGACATCAAATGGAACGTAATGTATCATTGTTGCTATGGATGTTCAAGAACTCTATAATAACCCTGCCACTATATTCACATAGGTTTATTGGGCATGAATCCAAATGATTGAATTTTGAAGTTAATCGATTGAAGAAGACCGACATTATGATTTTGTCTCCATGGAGCGATGGTTACCAAAGCCTCTTCAATCCTATATTCCCATTTCCTCTGAATACTTAGTTCAAGCAAGTGCTAATCAACAACATTAAGGTTTTTATTCATGAAATTAAATGCTTGAGGAAGAACGACATTATAACTCCATCTCCAAGGAGCCGTGTTTACCGAAGCTTCCTAAACCCTTTAGCTCCAAACCCACCCGACTATAGAACCGTAGTCACCCTTCTACTTGCTGATGAGCAAATCCATCTAGCTTTTCTCGTGCTGGCGAATAACTCGGCCATGGAACCCTCTTCAACATCACTTAGTCTATTGACAGTGGCCATTGTATCGTCTAACGCTTCGTCCGTGGATGATTCTACGAAAAACCGTGTTAGCACTTTCGCTAATTTGCTTCCTAGCTTTGGTCTCCAAGCTGTCATGGATCCTTCGTCGAACTATATTAGCTATTTTTTGCATAGCATATGCTTTTACCTTTTTATGCTACTTGTGCTTTGTATCGAGCCATCTTATCCGTGTATCCTTGGCTACTTTGAACCTTGTTTTACGTTGATGAATGAAAATAAGTCTTTGAAAAAAAAAAAAGATAACATTTTCAATTAGTGAAGAAACCATTTTGGAGAGGCAAAGTACTTGATAAAATAGACTTAAAGACTAACTAACTTAAAAAAACAAAGGCGATGATAGTAAAGCAAGACATGTTCATAACTTCCACAATAAGACCCAACTTCCCATGAGCATTGCAAATGGTTTTAGAGAATACTTCCTATGCGTGTGTTATGAAAACTTTCTTGCACACCACATTATCATCATCAAAAAGAATTCATCAAGAGGCCTTCCAAAATTTTATCTAATACCTTCCTTCATCATAAGAAAAGACACCGATACACCATAAAAGATATATCAAAGTATCCACTATCTTAACCTGTGAAGTGGAAATTATTATCAACTAAGATTGACTTATCCAAAATATCTCAGAGAAGAATGTCAGATATTTCTCTGAGAGTGTTAACCTTCTTTTAGAAAAACATGGAGGGTCTTGAATTAGTAGATATAACCTCACTCCAGGATCTTTTCTACATTGGTAAGTACTTTTTGTTGGCTCCATATTGATTTGCTTTCCTTTCTTGCGTTTATAGCTCGCTCCAATCTCATATTTGGTTTTGTTTTAAAGCCTTTAGCCGAGATAAGATCATATGAGACTTACTGATAGTACGATTTTTGCTCAATTAGTATCAATTCCTAATACACATGTCATTGTAGTATATTAGGTTATCAATCTAATCTCAGTGTGATTGCAAGCATTCAAGATATGCACAAAAAGCAAGTAAGTCAAGCCAATTGTGAAAAGGTTTTGTGTGTTTCTATTCAACCTAAGCAACCAATTAACATGCAAGTACCAAATTCAAAAGCATAAGAAAGAAAACTAAGCAGCAAGAAATGAACTACAAACCAGGAACTACCATGCATAAGCTTTAAAAAGGAAACTAACAACCCATCAATGCAGAAAACTATGCTAGACCAAGCACGTCGAGCAAGCAGGTCGAGCAGGACAATAAAGACTAACAGAAACGAGATTTAAGCAATCAAACAAGGCAAGCTCTTAAGAATGGGGTTATTGGTTATAATGGATTTATCTATCCCTTTAACTAGCTAATAGACTCAATCAAGCTATCCCTAGACAATAGATTCAAATACAAATCAATCCACTTTCATGACAAAGATTCTCAAACAAGATCACTTTCAAACTCAATTCTCATTGATGAAATATAATCAAGCAGGCATTAAGATTCAATCTAATATAGTCAATAAACATTCTAAACATCTAATCTCATGAGCTAGAGTATGTAAATCTCTGGAATAGTTGGTTCAGACATTTCATCAAACACCTTGTGGGTGTGGAAATGTCTGAGATCAACTTCCAATTGATAAGAGAGGAAATAGGACTAAGAACTACTAAACCAGAAGGGAAATCATGCAGTTATACACTTATCTAGCTAAAGAAACAGAAGATTCCACTAACAACCTATCCCATCCTTAAGAACTTTGCAAAACTACTCAAGAACACTCAAGAACATCATAGCAACAAACCCAGAAAATGATTCAAACCCAGAATTCATTAAAAAGCAAGTATGTTATAGATAAGAGAGAGATCTACAACTTTGATGAAGAAACGAAGTGCAAAAACTCAATGATTCAATGGGAAAAACGATTACAAACTAGGGTTTAGAGAGAAAAACGGAAAAACCAAAGGGTAAAGAGAATATCTCC